GAAAGACAAACAGAGAGACAGACAGACAGACAGACAGACAGACGGAAAGACAGACAGAGAGACAGACAGACCGAACGAACGGATAAACAGAGAGACAGACGGACAGACAGACAGATGGAAAGACAAACAGAGAGACAGACAGACAGACAGATGGAAAGACAGACAGAGAGACAGATGGATAGACAGACAGACAGACAGACGGATAAACAGAGAGACAGACGGACTGACAGAGAGACAGACAGATGGATATACAGAGAGACAGACAGACAGATGGAAAGACAGACAGACAGAAAGACAGACAGACAGACAGAGAGACAGACGGATATACAGAGAGACAGACAGACAGATGGAAAGACAGACAGAGAGACAGATGGATAGACAGACAGACAGACAGACGGATAAACAGAGAGACAGACGGACTGACAGAGAGACAGACAGATGGATAGACAGAGAGACAGACAGACAGATGGATAGACAGACAGAGAGACAGACAGAGAGACAGACATACATACATACGGATAAACAGACAGACAGATGGATTGACAGAGAGACAGACAGATGGATATACAGAGAGACAGACAGACAGATGGATAGACAGACAGAGAGACAGACGGATAGACAGAGAGACAGACAGACAGACAGATGGAAAGACAAACAGAGAGACAGACAGAAAGACAGACAGATAGACAGAGAGACAGACAGACGGATAAACAGAGAGACAGACTGACAGACAGATGGAAAGACAATCAGAGAGACAGACAGATAGACAGATGGATAGACAGACAGACAGACGAATAAACAGAGAGACAGACAGACAGAGAGACAGACAGACAGATGGATAGACAGAGAGACAGACAGACAGATGGATAGACAGACAGAGAGACAGACAGAGAGACAGACATACATACATACGGATAAACAGACAGACAGATGGATTGACAGAGAGACAGACAGATGGATATACAGAGAGACAGACAGACAGATGGAAAGACAGACAGACGGATATACAGAGAGATAGACAGACAGATGGAAAGACAAACAGAGAGACAGACAGACAGATGGAAAGACAGACAGACCGAACGAACGGATAAACAGAGACAGACGGACAGACAGACAGATGGAAAGACAAATCCAGAGATTATCAATGAATAACATGACAAATTTCAGCTCTAATGAATGAACATTTGAGATCTTCAGCGGTTGATGGTCTGTCATGATCAGTACCGTGAGAGTTTCCTCTGAAGAAACAGTAGAGCTGAGAGACGTAAGTGATGATGGACAGATGATCTGGCTCCTCCACAGACACCAGCTCATCCGGATCTAAAAGAGCAGGAATTCCCAGCTCACGCTCCGCAACGTCAAACGCCTGATGAAGAGGAACAAAGGACATGAGATGGACAAACTACTCAACCAGAACATCACAGGTACAGTAATCACAGGGAGCTTCTCTGAGATCTGAGATGGTTTATTGCTATTTCTAAGAATAAATGAAGCTCTTTTGAGACTTTTTCTGAACAGATCCTCCATCTCACATGTGATGGTTCAACATTTTTAAAGTCCAGCTCATGTCTACAGAAACTCACCAGACGCATGTTCTCGTAGACATTGTGTTTGGACAGTGAGTGAAAATCTCTGCCGAGAGAAACAAACAGAGAGCTGAAGATACATCAGACACATGCAGAACACATCTGGATATGAGAAGAAACTGAGGAGGAAGACGTGTTTCTACACAGACCAGAAAACACTACTGATGTATACATTTGAATAAGAGCAAGAGTTTTCAATCTGGGGCTGGAGGAGTGTGTTTGGATGTCAAATCAATCAATCAATCAATCAATCAATCAATCAATCAATCAATCACTCACTCACTCACTCACTCAATCAATCAATCAATCAATCAATCAATCAATCAATCAATCAATCAATCAATCAATCAATCAATCAATCAATCAATCAATCAATCAATCAATCAATCAATCAATCAATCAATCAATCAATCAATCAATCAATCAATCAATCAATCAATCACTCACTCACTCACTCACTCAATATATTTAGGACTGTAGTTAAAATATGCACCTAAGATAATATTTCATATGTTTCGATATTATTAAATCACACTCACATACATGAAATTTAATAATTTAACTTCATTATTTCATCATTGCTTCATTCTGTATATAAATCAAGCAGGTATTAAAATAGTTAGACAAAATAATGTTTAACATTGTGGTAAAGTGTAATAGTTTTACTACTGAACTAGTTTTGTCTCATATCATGCAGCATATAATGTTTCAAGACTCTGATTCTTACAGTAGATCGGGTCTGTGTCTGTGGATGATCGCACAGAAAGCCAGTCCATCTGTGAATGAGGAGCGCATGTCTGTGACCAGAACATCAGAGTAACCTTCACAAACATCTCGACACCAGTCCTGAAGAGCTTTCAGTGAACACATGACCGAAAAACAGGCTCTTCAGACCGGAACAGAATATAACGGGACGCGGAATGAGGAATCAGCCTCGCTTCTGTTCATCAGTCTCGGGCTGATTTTCCAGTTCCGTTGCCTTCACACAGCTGCAAAAAATTTCTCTTTTATGAATGTGTATAATACTCCATCAGATCGCAAACCCGTTCAGATTCCGCGTTTCAGTTTTCAGCGCCGCGGTCCGTCGATCTGTTGCTTTAAACTTTTTGATCAAATCAAACCGACGATCGCGTTCACAGAAAACATCAGCAGCAAACAAAGATACAGATCCAAGAACTTGCGCTTTAAATACAGATGAGCTAATATTCTCATAAAACACTTCTAAAGAAAAACTTTACCAGAACACATCTGGAAACAAGATCATCTACAAACACGCTGCTGCACGAGACTGAAGTCTGAAAAGGTGAATTTCCTTTCAGGTTGTGGATGCGCGAACAACAAAAAGAGGACAGCTGTGCGCCTGCGCGAAACACACACACACACACACACACACACACACACACACACACACACACACACACACACACACAC